GCAATAGTAGTAGTAGTAGTAGTAGTAGTAGTAGTAGTAGAGTAGAATAGAATAGAATAGAATAGAATACATTGTCGAGCGAGAAAGAAAAAAAACTGATTGAAAAGTTCATATTTTTATCCACTTTTCGACGGGCAGTTTTTATCATAACAATATATATTGTATTTCGATATTAAACCGACCGCCGCGGGCCGCACTGAGATTCAAAAAAGAATAGTGTCGGTTTCGAACTTGTTTCGCACAACAACACAACGCTAGCAGTGCCTATGGAGCTAACTAACAATTTGTAAATAGTTTTAAAAATTCAAACAAAATTATAAAACACCTATCGCGGTTATGCAAAATCATCACTAATTTTAAACCGCTTTTACACGAAGACTAGTCAAATAACTCCAGCTTGCATTTCATTCGTTCCTTTATTCAAACATTTGTTAGCCAATTGTTAGTGTAGTGTATTATAAAGATTCTCATTCTATATTGGTGGTTATGTGAATACGTCTAAAAAATTGCTATATGTTGCATACAAACAATGATAACAAAAACGGAGGATACAATTTCGCATTGCACCTCAAAAACTACGTTTAATATTTAAAAGGTTGGTTTTTTTTTTTTTTAACTTAATGGGAATAGTGATATCGCGCGTTGAGACGTGTTTCGAATTCTTAATTTACTAAAAAATACATACCAAATATTAGCTTATTCTACTAATTAGTCTAAACATAAAAAATGTCTGTTTTTTTTTTTTTTTTTAATTGGCCCATAGAGAAGAAAGAGGATATTTACAGTATTATAACTATCGGTCCCAGCCGTTCTGCTGGTTCTAGCAAAATTACATTGGCAGTGTACTGTGTAATATTTTTATAGTGAGGCATCATTCTGCGGCGTAAAACTTTGTTTATTATACTCCCGAAATTGGATTTTTTTTAATTAAAAGTATTTAACCCCCAAACGGACGGAAACGGCTGAACGCGAGTGTGAATAAAATCAAAAGAAAAATCAACCGATCGAGAAGCACCTTCTATACTTAAACCGAACGCGTACAGTGCCTACTTATTGTATCGGATAAAGCGCGGCCGGGCTTAGGAACTGACAAAGGCGTTCCACTCGAGTCGGAAACCCTATCTAGGGTAATTTCGTTATTATCAAAATTATGACACGCCGACTAAAATACTTTTAAGTGCGAATTATCGTAAAAGCCTTCGTTTTCGCAATTAATGCTTACGACCGTGTAATGAAATTTCCCTAAGTAATTTTCCCTTTTTAGAGCGAATACCTCGGAGTGTTCTCCTCCCAGGGGCTGAAGACATAAATCTATTTACCCTTTCAGCGACTACATTTTACACTCTTGAGTTATCGGCGTTATATTTTCGTCTTGTATGTTTAACATTTAGGTAGACCTTCCAGCCGAAAGCCAATTAAAAATTGTATAAAACACGTTCAACGCGCGACCGCCTGAACAGTTCAGGCTGAACTTACTAAAAAAGAACAATTTCTATAGTTATAGTACTTGGGAGTCGACACACTGTCACCTATAGTGCAAGCCCAGATAAACCAAACTAGGTACAAAATGCTATTCGTTTATGATAAACTAACGTCATATATTTTAATGTCCGTTATTTTTCATGACTTCGCCCAAGAATTGAGTATGTTTAGGTAAACTTTTAGGTTAACCTTTTCGCAGTAACCGATACGCTCAAATTGACGACTTGTACATTTGTATATTTTATCCAACCTGCATTATACGATTAAAATATTAATCAGCATACTTATGGGGTAGCCGATATGTTTAAATATCATGGACATTCTGGGTATCCTAGTACTTTGCGTTAATATTCATAAGTTTTAAGAAGATAAAACGTTTGCAATGGAAAAAGAGTTGCCTGAATAATATCTATGAAGGATTAATAATTGTGAGCATTAAGATGCGAAATAACACTTAAATTATTTTTTTAATACATGATTCACCGAGCATGACGCGCGTGACTATACTATGCAAACATCACATAGTATAAAGTACACCAAACGATAAACAGGAAAAATACTGATTAGTTTTAGTTAATTTTTATGCAAAAGAATAATAATTAAAAAAGGTTTAAATCTTTCGTTAAAAAAATATGCAAAATATCTTCTTAAGAAAAAGCCGTCCCTTGTATATTAAGTAAGATTTTTATGGGTTTCTTAATTACTGTTTTAAAGGGTCAACAAAAAAAACTAAATATTTGTTAAACAAACATTAGGGATATCTTCCATTTTAAAAGATAACATTATAATGTACGTATACATTATTAAAATTTAAATAATGTAAAGTTTTACTTCTTCTCCTAAACACTACTAGAACTTAACCGTGTCCAGATGATAATTTATAATCGAAAAACTATTATTCTATTATTATGTATTCATTTAACAATAATACCTCCTTAAAATACTCTTCAGAACATAATATTAATATAATCTGAATTTCTCATTAAATATCTATAACTTCTTTTGTTTCCAAACGCTCCATCACTGTACAATGTACATGAACTCATTCTACTAATTTCCAATGAATAGTGTTTACCTGCGATTCCTTTCCCTTAATTGTCGACTCTGGCAACATTGATCTAACTACTTTCGAACAAGAGAAATTCCTAACAACATAACAATTACTGGGACACTGGATAAAAAATGCCACCTCTAATATTAAATCATGTATTATCAATGTTTATTGTACATTGTCATTAAACTACACATTTTTTTGAAGCCAACGAATTAAACCTTTCCATAATTGAAAACGTTTTTAACATTAATTAATTCATTTGTTTATTATTCGGTTATATTTTAATCGCACAATTATCATCAGAGTACATTTTAATTTTTAGTTATTATAAAATACTACATAAACTATAATCGATAGCTTTAGGTATAATCAATTAGCTGATTGCATTCACTCGTAGCGAGACGACTTGGTGAATAATGGCAACGGGTATTCGGTGGACATTAATATTTAAATGTTATTACAATCATTTGTCGCGTGTCTTCTAAACCGCCAAATTTTGAGTACAGATAATAACTCTCTACCGGTATCTTCCAATACTTTCAAACAAAGCTGAATTTCCAGTACAACCGGCCAAAGTTGTTTCGATGAAAAATTAAGGTATTTACTTGTTTTTTACTTATTGCAAACACTTAAGTTCGCTTGAAAGATATATAACGTTGAACGCGACGACCTCTCGAATTAAAATATCTTTCCAAATGCTTGACTTTTATCATCAATCAAAAATTCTCATGAAAATTCCTCATTAGTCACTTTTTTCATTTTACTTGTTTAAATCGTTTTAAGTACAAGTACTTTTTTCTGTTGTTGTTGTGTGTATAGTTGGAACTGTTATTTAAGCTTTGAAAAATTCTTTTTCAAATTTAAAATTATGAAATATTTTTTATTATACTAACCACTAGGGGTAGACTATTCTGACAGACCGTAATACCGTGTATCTACATAGACAGTAATACACATAACATTGTGATATACAATATAATAAGTAATGTCAAAACTAATAGTGTGTTCATTTGTCATATGCAACAAACGTGCACGGTGCTGCAGCTATGTATATATATTTTTACACATGTATAGGTATGCGTTCTGCTATGTATTATTGCGATTCTCTTTATAATATAATGTACTATGCTTAGCACAGCTCGACTTACTGAGAATATTATTCTCAGAAAGCTATACTAACTACTTATTTCCTTTATGATATTTGACTTAATGTAGTTTAAAAGTAAACAAACATGAATTTCGCTATTTTCTCTCAATAGAGAAAAAACTAACGCAACGCAAAACCCTTTAGTTTACTTCCAAATATTGTCAACTACAGTTACACATATCAAATTATATATTTACAGAAACATTGATTCACTTTCTACATCTTTATACAGCTCTCCATTAGAGTAATTGACCAAGTTGGTTAGTTTCAGTTTTTTAAACTTTGAATTTAATGTATATTATTTTATATTTATAACGTACCGAGAAAAGTGCAAAAAAAAAAACAAATCATAATTAAGACTACATATATTTTCATTTCAACGAAGTATTAAAGATAAAATATGATGGCAGATCTTACTACGCCAAAACCCTATTATTTGCTGTAGTCTATGCAAAGAAGTTTGGCGATACTACTAAATCTTAATTTTACAAGCGACCAAAGTATAATATATTGAAAAACTATACACTCGATAATGATTTGTTATTTTATTCTAAAGTTTTTACTTAAAATATTAATGATAAAACATGCTTTTAGAGTGTGTTGACCTCATAACCGTACCAAAAAAAAAAAAAAAAACTCGCGTGAACAAAACATTGTTTGTAAAAGTAAATCCAAACACTTCATAGTTGACTCTTCTTTTTCTTCTTCCAGCTTTTCAGAGGCCATTGAGGCTTATTGCTACAAAACAAACATTAATCTACTTCTCTCTATCCTGAGCTATTTCACTGAAATGTTCTATTACTAATTGACTTAATTAATTTTGTTGTTAATCTGGTTTTATTGAAACTTCCGAGTAATACTAGATTTAAACAATTTAAATCCGATCTCGTCTAGTGTATATTTTACAGTTGCTAATATTATGTGGAGCGCTCTATGATTCAATAACCGAATTACAGGCTCAGTGTGTAGGTACTTCTTGCTGATTACTCGACTAAATGGACTACTTAAAAATAACGTTAAATAGTTTAGCTTGTTAAGTTGTGCTATTAGCTAAGACTTAACGTCTTAACCGAATAATTGATAATCTGGACTTGGCAATTTCCATATAACTCATCTGTATATAATTTATGTACAGTTAAGTGTATTCATTAAACTTACATAATCGCATTGAAGGGTTTGAGAGGTACGTATTATCAGTTTTAAAATAATTCCTATCTTCAAACCAGTAACGTGCCTGAGTAACCTTTCAATCTTGATTCTATTGCACTGGTGTTTGACCATAAATTGGTTTGTACAAGACAAATAATACAAATCAAACAAAAATGTATATAATATATTTTATAATTATTTCATAAGTTTGTATTATTACTTTATTACAAGCGTATTAAGACTTAATTGTTATTACAAAAAAAATGTTAAATCATGCTCGTAAAAAACTGCCATAAAATATCGCTGTTAGAGGTTTGCTAACAAACCTTGCGGACAAGCAATCACAGTGGCAATAATAATGATTTTGTGTACACAGTAACGTGACTTTAGACGTTTAACGGTTTAAATTTAAGCCAAACGCTGTTGGGTATGTTTACAAAGGTGCCAATAACGTACTGGATGGGCACTTGTGTCTTTTCGCATGGCAACACTTCGTAGTTGGTCAGCACTTCCGACAAAGCCAATTTGATTTCGAACTCGGCAAACCGTTTACCTGCGTAAACAAAAGCAGACTGATTTATTTATTTATTATTACTATTATTATTGTAAACGCGCCATATTGGCTCGAGTACAGTAATGAGATAATTAAAACGTTCCAACAGTAGTTGTACGACTTGTAATAATTCGCACGGTGGGTTTTTTGATATGGAAACTAATAATCAATTAAATACGGTATTTATGTATAAGTATACTACACAGTGGAAAGGTTTTTTTTTTGGAATTCGGGTTTCGGTCAGTTATCATTGTAATTATCGTCCGCACCTATGCACGTGCGAGGGCCGTCTCCGAAGGGTATATAAGTGTTGGGGTGCAAGCTCCTGATGTTGTCGGCGGAATACCGCTCGGGGTCGAACTCCTTCGGATTTCTGTAATATTTGGCATCGTAGTGTATGCAGTTGACGGGTATGATGACTTTCGTGCCGGTCTTCAACGTTATGTCAGTGCCCGGTAAAGTGTACGGTTTAGTAACTTCTCTGTTTAACGCTATGAGCGGGGGATATTTTCTCAGCGTCTCTGTAAAGCAAACGAAACAAATCGATAACATTGACGAACGTTGAACTTATCTCGCTTAGCTAAAAAAAAAAAAAAAAGACAAAAGTAGAAAGATGTTAAGTGGATTTAACCCCTTCCGTCCAAACACTGCGGTTATGATGCATTGTTACATGCGTTGTTACCTTTGATAACCATGCTCATATAGTGTAGTTTGTTTAAAGATTCAATATCCATTTTGTCACCGTGTTGAGATTTAACGTGAACGATTTCTTTTCGAACCCTATCTTGAATATCTTTTCTCAAGGCCAGCTCGTATAAGCAAGAGCTTATAGACGTTGACACGGTTTCGAACCCAGCAACAAATAAAATGTACGCGTTGGCCACAATATCCAATTCTGAAAATTTGTCTAAAAAAAAAAAAATGATCCATCATACTATACATTTTTAGCAGTTAAGTTAAATATCGTTGGCTATCAAGTGTATCACACCAAACACAGATGAACGCGTACAATATACCGCTTAAATTGAGATATAATTAGTTTTTAGTAATTTATTTAGGTTTTCGAATGTAATTTATTTGAAATTTGTGGTTAACGCTATAATTGAACAGAGCATATTGTTTTCAATAATGGATTCAATAATATGATCCATTCGGGGTTCACCAGCTCAAAGGCACACCCTATCTAAAATTATGGCGTGGCGTTATTATGACATAAATCATGAGCAGCCGCTAACGTTTAAAAAAAAAAGAAAAAAAAAACAATGCACAACATATTAGACCGAATAATTTATAAATTAATTTTCGACGTATTTGGTTGTGCTGTTGTGATGTAGAATTTATGCGTTTTATTATTTTTAATTTACGAGCTAACAAACAAAATATTTTATTATATTTTTAACGTCGACGATTTGATTCAACCTTAAACGATTGATAAAATTACGTTTTAAATGAAATGTCCAAAAAAAAAAACGATTTATAAAAAGCGCACTTGTGTGTGTGTGTGTCTCGTCGCTCATTTTATCAGCTTTTTCAAGACGGACTACATAATATTATGGGTATACCTTCGTCTTTCAAGTCGGGATTCAGCACCAAATCCTTTCTGGCCTTCATCAGATGCTGTACAAAGTCGTTGCGCTGGTAGTTGTTCTGTTCCCTGTGCCGGATGGTCTCTTGGAAGGCGTTCCGGAAGAAGTCGATGGTTTTTTGCGAGTAATTGTTCATCCGGAACAACCGCAGCAACGCCGGCTGGATGAATATGATTGCCACCCAGAGCTGAGACTTCAACGACGGTGTGCAAACTGCCTTGCCGTACTTGCGGAATTCCGAATCCGGGTCGTTGATGGCGTCTAACTTCAGCCCAAAAGCGCAACTGCCGATCACGTCCGTCGAGTACTTGGCCATCATTTCGCGGATTTCCATTTTGCCGGATTCGACGCCCATCGTCTGGCCTATGGTGTTCAGCATGCTATCGCTACACTCTTTGATCTGTTCGATCATGTACTTGAGCCTGTTGGCCGTGAACGTGGGACTGAGCTTTTTTCGCATTATCCTCCATCGTTCGCCGCCAGTGAAAAATATGTTATTGTTCAGTGGGTTCGTATGCGTGCCCGAGTAAATGCCGCGATCGGTGAAATGACTGAAGTCCCTGATCAATATACGGCCTGGTCGGAAACGGAACAATTATATTCGCGTTAGTAACATACATCTTAATCAACGTCGGCTGAGTTGGGCATTTTTTATTCGAATGAGCTCTTTATTCGGTATTTATTCTATTTAACATGGTCTATTCGAATATTTTTTTTTACACGACATAATCTAAGGTGATTTGTTCGAATAAACAAAAAATATCCCACGGTCATATTGAAATAGTAATTATTTAGATGAAAAATTATATAAATAATGCCCAACTCTGCCTACATAACACAATATATTAGACCTAAACCTAACTTATCATACCAACACTCACAAAACCTAACCAAACTACCCGCCAAACCCAACCGATCATATTTACCTTACCAGATATTTTAAAATGTTTAAGTATGAAATGTATAAGTATCAAGTCGTTGTTTTTACAGGTTAGTTGAATTTTTTTTTTAACGCCAAAATATATATGCTCTAGCTCAAGAAATCACAATTCTTAAGTGGAAATAATTGTAAAAAAAAAAAATATAACTTTTTGAGCTGTTTAGCAAAACTTACTATATTATGGGCGTTATTGTTTACAAGTAACAAGTGCGTTCCATTATGAGAAAATTTCATAGAAATTGTGTATTATAATTAAATTTTAACCTACCTTAACTTGAAAAATACTACGTTTTTATCAAACTCAGTATTGTCATCACAACAATTAATGTATCTAATGAGAAAATTAGGTTTAATGGAAATAAATTGTTGTCAAGTGACAAGCATTACCGATAAGTTCAGGGTCCTTGATGAACAGCTGTGGCATGCGCATTGTGTAAACCCCGGCATACGGTTTGTCGCCCATCTCTTGGTAAATAGTCTGGAACACTTCCATGGTATGCTTGAGGCCTACGATTGACTGGAAAAAATGACCAAACAACGGTAGAGGTGTCCACGGGCATTTCACGCCCAACTTGGACCAGTGACTATAATGCCAAGTACAGTAAACGTATATGGCGACCACTACAACGGCTGAGATCGTCCATTTCACGTCAAAATACTCAAAAACGGGTCTTAACATATTTTTTTTTTAAGTGTGTTTTAGAAAACGCGCACGGTAACGACTACCGCGGTATGACTGAAGACAATTTTCGCCTAATAGAGTTTTAACCGATTAAGTTTTTACGAACCGTTTAATTGTTACATAATAAGTAAATATAATATGACTATGTTTTTATTGTTTCTGACGCTATGTACATGCAGGCTTATTCGTAATGTAAAATAACATGCATGCAAACGTTAATCATTTGGAACCAATAAAACACATATTAAATTTATAATAATGTACAGCTTCTGAAATCATACGAAGGGCACAGGGGAAAAACGGTAGTAGTCACATTATGAACATTTTTTTTTTCAAATAGTTTTTTTCAATTTATACCAATAATTTTTTTTATTTATGTCAATAGATTGTTTAAATAAATACATTTACTATTAGAGTAGAATTTAATGTGATTTTTTTGTTCTTATGTAAGAGAATGTATGGAATTCACGAACTTTGTTTTTGCTATACTCTAAAATGTTCATAATGTGACAACTACCGTTTTTCCCCTGTGCCCTTCATATGATATTTATAGTATGTAACCTGATATCTTCTACCAAAATATGCTTAACTACGTAGTATGAAATATTGGAATGTTCTTCCAAATACTTGTATTTAAAAAAAATTAACTGATCTCGCCGGGAAACATTAATCAGTGTACTGACAGTAAAGTTTTCAAAACACTGTCTGGGAAAAAACACGATTTACTCATTGTTGTTGCAACAATCGAGTAAAAGTGGGAGTGTAATCGATTAAAAATAGCTTTAGCGAAAGTTTCAAAAATTATTATTAACTCATTATTGTTACCGAAACATGAATTTGTATTAGTTATGAAGTTCATCGTTTGTTAGATGTTAAATTTAACTGTCCACATCAGCTCCTTCCAACGTCATAAAATATCTATTTCTGTTATTGTAATTGTACTTTTAACAGATAATAATCACCATATTAAAATAAACCTGTTTTTCATAAAAATCTTTTCCAATGTTTGCAGTTTTGTTGAAACAACAAAAAAATTAGGCCAATATTGTGAAAATATTCGAAATTTTAATTATTTTTACTTAAAACAAACAAACATTTACATTATTATTTTACTTGCATTAATAACAATAATATAAGGAAAATAAATAAATAATATAAATAATAAATTAAATAGAAGACGAAATCCTTGGAGTACTCGATAAAAAAACAACGACAATTTGTAGACGGTCAGAATAGAGAACTTCCCTGAATTTTGAAAACGATTTTTCATTATGACCATTTTTACCGGAATATATGACCAAAAAATGGTCAATGTGAAATATTTAAGTGTAATTGATGCGAAAGAACAATATTGGACAATCCAACCCGTAAAATAAAAATGTTTTATTAAGTAAATAAAAAAAACATGGAACAATAAAAAATGTCGTAAAAAAAATTTACTTTAAATATCATGTGAAAAATAACAATGTTTAAACTCATTCTAACTCGAAATATATTAGACACAAAGTGAGATTGGCCATTCTTAACCCAAGACACAAGAATATGATACATATATTTATTTATATTTGTACTCAAGACAATATATATTATTATTGTAGATAACTGTACTAACGTTGAACAGCTATCGTTTTGATATATTATGATTGACGGTCCATTGTGTCTTAATGTGTGCGGTACCGTTGACTGTTCCAGTCCGTTTTGGAGTCCCATACGTCCCTGTCGGACTTGTAAGTCGACAATCTAAGACATTTGGTTCTGGACCGACTTTGTCCCGAAGGAACAACGCCGAAAGCGCGATAATTTTGAGGCGAGCGCCGCACGCGGAAATGTATCAGCAACAGATGTTGATGCATGTCGGCTGCTTAATAAATAACTACACTATGGAAATATTCTAGCTATTCCGTCGGTTGCAAAAAAAACTGTGTTTAAGTACGCCAAAACCATGCCGCGCACAGTCTAGCCTAGTGTTCTATGTAAGCTCGTGCCTTGTTGATTTATCCCAGTTAACGTTATTATCTAATCTACCGCAACGGTTTAACGATGATATCGTCCGCAAGACAAGTTACAAGTTAGTACCTATGATTTATACGCCATAAACCTCATGACTTAACCGTTAGATCACCGTAGGAGGCGAAACTCCACACGATTTGAATACACTGTATTTGAGTATAACAAGATAACTGTTATCGTTAAAGTAAAGATGCCCAAGAGCGGGTGGAAAAAAAATGCTAAATATTGTTTATCTAAAAATTACTGGTTTACAATTATTTCAACGAAACAAAGTCAGACTACGCTTATAGTTTTCTAAGGTCCGTAATAATATGTGTCAAGTAGAACTAGGTACCTACCTACTAAAATCTGGTAAGCCAAAAGCACTCTCGCGCTTTCAATTTGATACATTTTAAGATATATATTTATCACTTATAATGGTCGGAAATTCGTATGGACTGTTTTTTAGCCTAACTCTAGGCAACGGGGTACACGATCAAAATCCCTAAGAATTAGAACCTACAAAATAAATTGTCAACATATATTTCCTATTCTTATACATTTTCACGCATTGATAAATGCCGGTTTTCGTGGCTCAGATTAGTTAAGCCAAAGTATTATTAGCCATTTATTATAACGCATTCGATGAAAATTCTATATTTAAATATGTACACAATGTCACAATATATTGTAATTAGTCTGTTGACTATACCTGTGACTATTACAGTACAAGGTTACTAAACGGATTTGAAACGGCAATTAAAACAAAATCCCGTAATGTTGTTGTACCATATAATTTTCTATAATTGTAAGTCCGTAAGCTATAACATGTTATTTGTTCGACATAGGTTCGGATGACACACACACACGCAAAAAAAAATTGTATAAATTACTAAAATGTAAATAGTGATTGAATATTTTTCAGGTGGATATACAATAGGATGTCAATTAATTACCAAGGGCAAACGCCAAACCGTAATTAATTTTAATTGTAAATTGCACGATCATTAAAATCGTTCTTCCGCAAAAACAGCTACTGTGACAAGGAATGATACAATCTATCAATAATTATTCTTAAGATTACAACATAATATTAAGTAACAAAATTTGTTATGTATTTTCATTAACGAACGGCAACTTTCAATACCTACACAGACATTTTAATATGAATTTATGTACATCAAATCATAATACTATTGTTGGCGCTGGAACAGTCGAAAACAAACTGGTAAACAGTATTAAAGCCTTTCATTATTTATTATTGGAACAATATTCGCTAAACTTTGAATAAAACAATATAATCTGCTCTTGTATTGAGATTTTCACTTCGTTAACGGTTTAAATTTTAACCAAATACCGTTCCTTGGCACCACTATGAACGCTTGTTTACTGAACGTAAGTGGTATCTCCGTTTTCTCGCAAGGTTCTACTTCGAATTTAGATAATAACTCTGACATGGCCAGTTTCATTTCTATTTCGGCAAAACGTTTTCCTGTGAAATCATAAAAAGATTTTTATTTTTTTTAACATCTAGAACCTTATTTAGGTCGCTATATGCAATTATGACGTGTATTTGTAGTGTAATATTATACCTATGCAAATTCGAGGCCCGTCGCCAAACGGCAAATAGGTCCCGCTGGGTCTTTTGGCTTTTTCTTCTGGTGTGAACCGTTCTGGATCAAAAGTCTCCGGGTCTTTAAAGTATTGCGGATCGTAATGCAAAGAGTGTATGGGAATCAAGAGTTTTTGTCCTTTTTCTATTGTTAACTGGTCGTCGGGCACGTGATACGTTTGTGTGGCCTCTCTGAACAAGGCGAAGGTCGGTGGATACTTGCGTAGAGATTCTGTAATATACATGATAATATTTATTTTTTTATATGTTTATCATACCTTCATTAAAAACTAATGTTGTCTACTTTTCCGTAGTCCACTCAAACGAATATATCAAAACATGTAAATTCATATAATGAATATTTGTGGTACATAGCGATGACGGTTTAAATTTGAACTATTTTGACGGATCAGATTTGCCTGGAGAAAACTATAAGTAGTCATAAGCCCACAAGATAACTCCACAATTACAATGACACGTTTAATGACAAAAAAATACCTCATTTTGGATTTTTCATTATTACTACACTACCTGTGACCATACAGATAACAACAAGGGACTAACAATTTAAAAGCTTAATCTTATTGATATTATAATCAGTATTGAATGATTTTTTATATTGTTACATTGTAGCAAAAAGAGTTGATACCGTTGAAATATTAAAACAATATATTAACTAGTGGCTGATTATGAAACTCTAACCTGCTAACACCATATCCATGTAACTCAGATCCATAAGGAAATCGTTGTTCATGTCACCGCCATGCAATTCTTTTTTCGTCTCGATTTCTTTGCGCACTTTGTCTTGGATGTGCTTTTTCAACGCCAACTCGTATAGGCAAAAGCTCATGCCGGTGGAGACCGTTTCAAAACCGGCGGCGAACATTACAAACGCGTTGGCGATAATTTCCATGTCGGTGAATCTCTCTAAAGGGACAAACGAGAGCGGCATAGATTAATATCAAATAACAACGTACGAAGTTCGTCCGTTACCCCGCACCTTCGGCCGGCAGGTCGTCGTTGAGCACCAAATCTTTTCTCGCTTGCATCAGATTCTGCACGAAATCGTGTCTGATCACTTTGTTGGCTTCCCTGTAGGCTATGGTCTCCTGGAACGCGGACTTGAAGAAATCCGTGGCTTCCGTCGGGAAGTCCTTGATCCTGACTATTCTGAGCAGCGAAGGAGCTATCATCAGACTCAGTTCCCTCAGCAATACCCGGGCGGTCGGGACGAATAACGACTTGCCGTAGTGCCGAAACGTCGAGTTCTTGTCGCTGACCGCGTTTACCTTGAGCCCGAAAGCACACGAGCCTATAACGTCGGTCGAGTAGTTTCCCATCAAGTGCCGGACTTCCAGCTGGTCCGACCGCTTAAGTTCGGCGTGCAGTTTGCTCATCAGCTCGTCGCCGCACTCTTTGATCTGGCTCTGCATCAGCTTCAGCTTGCCCGAGGTGAACGCCGGCGAGAGCTTGTTCCGGATCACCTTCCACTTGGGGCCACCCATGAAGAACAGGTTGTTAGACAGCGGGTTGGCTTTGACGTCCGTGTAAATGCCGCGGTCGCTGAAGTGCGCAAAGTCTTTGATCAGGATCCTGTTGATCAGTTCGGGATCCCGGATCATCAGGTACGGCGTGCGCATCTGCCAAAAGCCACCGTACTTGTGGCCGGCCAGCTGGTTGTAGATCCTGCGGAAGGTCTGCACCGGATGCTCAGAGCCCAGCGCCATCGGCAGGATGTTGCCGAACAGCGGCACTGGTCTCACGAAGGGTACACTAGCTTTTTGCCATTTGCCAAACGTGGACGTGCTAAAGTAGTAGACCGTCGCCAATGCGACCCCGCAAACGGCCACAAATTCCAACCACCAATTGCCGGTGGATAACATTCTGCGTGTGGCTTAACAGCAGCAAAACCGAAAACCCCGGCAAAAACCAATACACTGTTCAGCGCCGGCCAGTTTCAGATATTTTTATACCGGTTCGACCCAACGATGATTATTGTCGATTTCCTCAAACGCGTGTGATCGTCGGACGAGCTAAACACGAAGGTGGGCGTTCCGTTTCCCGTAATTAACCTAACCTACCGCACTTGCACGGAAAATATATCCTCAATTATACCCGCTGAACGTCTTAGCAACCGTCTAATGTGGAATAGTCGTTAAATACAATTAAAAACAAACGTCCAAAAGAGCGAAATAGAGATGAGTTACCATCCGTTCGGTGTGGGTGGGTCAAACGAATTTTCTTGGGTTTTGACTGTACACCCAGAAAACTTGCATTTAAATAATAATAATAATATTTGGTAATAATGAATTGTTTGAAATTCATTTCTGTGTATAACTTTAAAAAATGTGTTATTTAAAACAACTTTTTTTTCAATATTTTCTTAATGGTATAATTTAAACATATAAATATAAACACAAACGTTTAACCCTCCAATTGCTTCAAATTTTGACACGAAATTGTAAAATAAACTCTTCGATAAGACATATTATAAGCATTGATCTTTTTAATCCGTCAACAGACATGATACATATGTTCAGAAGTGTGTACAAAATGCTAACCCTTGATTTTGCACACAGAAACGGCGTCCACTAAGAAGTCGACAAGGTTTTGATTGCAGCCCTTTTTTTTTTTTTTATAGAAGAATCCATTTATAAAAAAAAAATAAAAGGAAATGTAACTGTATCCCGCGGGACACCTTTGAAGTTGCGCGCATTGGTGTGTTTTCTTATACCAATATTAAAATATATGCATATCTAATCATAATTTCGTGTTTGCTATGTAAATAATTTACAAGTGAACCTGTGATTTGCAATGATTAATGTCTTTTGACTTGTTGATAAATTCCCTTAGCTCGGTTTGTATACGGTATCCAATGTAAATAATACTTTGTGTATAGTACACAGACCCGCGCTGCGACAATCAGTATCGAATATGTCGACCCTCGGTGATTTTGATTAATAATTCACTGAATTATGTATTAGGTACTACGGCGCGTGTATATATACATATATATATGTTACATTGTTACACACATATATTATGGGAAATTGATAAAGACTCTGCGTAGGCTATTTTGTTTGTGTAAGTTCGGTTGATTGATCTTATGATTTATTATCATTATGAAGCACAAACAAAAAGAAAGCTCCACGAGGTAAACATCGGACAACGATAGTTGTATGAAAAGAAATTTCAAAAAAAAAAAACATTTCCAAATTCTACAATGTTTCTATTAAAATCAAATAATGCGTCGCTTATAATTCTGAAAACGATTTCATTGCAGCCGTTTTACTCGGTTCAATTTCATTTTCAAACCTTGTCCAATTTTCCTCTCCGGATAAGTTTATCGCGATAGCCATCACATATTTTAACGGGTAATAAAGAGAATATCTATCAAATAGAAATTTGGCCGTTTTTCCGATATTTTCCGACTACTTTCGCTAAGTTTAATTATTACTAATGACACCATGTTATCGAAAAATCAATAACGAGGTGTTTTTCAATTTGTTCGACTTTGAAAAAAAAAATAATTACAATTAAACGGTAAACCTGTCGACTTGTGGTTCCGCGACCAAGTTGTTTTTACCACAGCACTGTTTGAACAAAAGTAATTAATGTTTTCATGATGTCACAATAAGCTGCGAAACTTTATATAGGTAACTCTGGGAAAAACATAATTGCAACACAACTGTTCACAACACAGAAGTTCTATGATTTGTCAGTTAAAATTATTCTAGTTATTTTCATCGACCATCGTGTTTGCACGCGGTTCGTTTTACCTAGAACTACGTCATACGGCCGTGTTTGAAATTGCCCGTTAATTGAACGGAAACGTCATCAAGGACGGCTTTAAAAAAACTGTACCTATACCTTTACTGTCTTATGCATCGTTTCATACCGATATTTAATAATAAAGCTCTGTATATTGTACGAAATGATCAAAACGATACAAACGGTTTATTTTTTTCCAAAACCTCGTCTTCGTCGATCAAGCGTCATTTATTTGCTGTGGGCGGTTTAAATGATAATTATTTGTCTGATCGAGCATAAATGAGGATTGAGGTACTTAGTGCCATAACGTTTTCATGTCTGATTCAGAGGGTAAGCGGATACCTGGATTCTTGATAACATCCGTTTCGAAAACAATAATTATTTTTATTATTAATTTCCAATTACCACCCGACAATACGTACATTGTGTTGTTCCATCGGTTTCCACGCGACGGCATTGACCGGGTTCAATTAAACGAAACGTATCTGTAATTAAAATGGCTCGAGTACAAAATAATAATATGATATAATGCCTTGTTGTCCCTCTTCTCCAGTCGGTTGTAATGACTGAAACAATTCCTATATGGGTTGATTGATTTTTCTTATCTGACGTTAATAATCGTTCTGCTCTGCAGAAGTTCTTCGTTATTCAAGATACATTAACAGCATATACAACTCAACTCAAGCCCAGACGTCTCAGTGCCAGTTGCATACCTACTATTAATTAGTGTAATACTTAAACAATCATTGGTCTGAAATCAGAACATGTGATTACCCCCCCCCCCGCGAGTTAATTCTATTAACTAAATAATTCAATTATTGAACACAGCCGTGCACGAATTAAAAAAAACCTTAATAATTAACCCTTATTATTTTTAATATCAAGTAATTTACTTTTTTATTTTATTGTAAATTGCATGTGAGCTTATACTCATAATTGTAAGTCGAAATCGAACAATTTACGGCATAACATCATTGTAATTTATAATCATAGTAATTAACCACTTCATTATTAAAATAGTCATTTACTTTTTCAAGGTACTAACTTCGGTTAAAATTATATACCGTAATTTTAATTTAACCTGCTTTCGTTTTCTGATTTGAGAAATAGGTCCAAGTTATTTTTTATTACCATTGCAACTGCCAACTGGTAAGGCTTAGTATTGCAAGCTTGTCAATCATTATCGGGGACACAATTAAATATTCTTCGTTTTTGTTTATACTTATTAGAACTAAATTCTATAACTTTGACTACAATGCTAAACTGAAATTAAAAAATTAAATCTGTTATTCTAAGGTGAAAAATAAAAATAAAATAGCTAATTATATTAAATAATAAGTACTGTACAATTCTGGTGATTTTACAAACAGCGTGTAGTGTTCATAGTGTTTTTTTTTAATTTTAAGAAATACATTTTTATTGAATATTCTGGCAGTATCTATTGATTTTGAAATGCGCTCTGGGTTATGGGAGAATTTGCAGTCATGTTGTATAGAATTTAGAATTTAGTTCTATTAAGTATAAACAAAAATGAAGAACATTTAATTATGTCACCGATAAGGAATACCACTTACATTCCCGTCCTTTGTTTTTTGACTTATAGTCAAAATTATTCAACTGAAAATTCTGATTTTTCCCATCATTTTAGCCATATCCAAAACGATTTGTACTGTGATTGATTCTTTTTTAACTTTGCTTTAACAACAACGTTATTAGCCACATATACAATTATTTAACTATTACTAAACTGTTAACTATTTCTATACTATTTTCATGTTAATTATTGTTATGTTATACAAGTGTGTATAGTTTGTGTATAGGGTAAATATTTTAAATTACATTTTTATATTATACTTTTTTCTTTAAGGGTAGACGACCTACTCGAGTCACTATGCCAGTGTATGAACTATTACGACAACATTGCCCGTGTTACATACAATTTATTTATATATATATATGTGTATGCATATAAAGTATAAGTAATGTCACGTGTCAAAACTAATATCGCGTTCATTTGTCAAACCCGACAAACGTGCACCTTTATATATATATATATATATATATTAAATCAAGTTCTGTTACATATTATTGCGATTCTCCTTCTCTGCACTGCACAGTTCTTATTGGGAATATTATTTTTAGAAAGTTTATACTTATTGCCTTTACGGTATTATAGACTTTGTTTGTAATACTTCCTCTGGGGCTTAGGTCTTAATAAAGTATTAAATTACCACCGCGATACTGCGAATAACAGTTAACTGTTATTCTAAGGTACTTAACAGTTTGAAAGCAAGTTTGCATGTTTGCAAAGCTCTCATAATAATTATAAAAATCAACACAAAGTAAAAACTATAAAATATACTGAATAATATTATCATGGACTTTTTAAAACGTCGGTGTTACTTTATGACCGTTATAAAGATGACCCGCAAGCTGGCGAGTTGATAACTGAAGTAAAGCCCAAGACAGCTTATGACTTATAGACTGACATGTATACTGGACATTTTTCTAAGAAAATCCTCTTAGTAAACCCCCAAGCAATCAGCATTTTCCAAGAACCAAATAATTAAAGAGGAACAATAATCTGGCGTCGATCATATTTCCGGCGAATACACTAATTTGTAGTACCTCGTGATGTATTAATAAATCCGGCAAAGGCAAAAATAACGTTTTAATTAGTAAAAGAATTGCAATTATTTTTAATTAAGATCATAAAGCCTGTAGGTAACCCTACTCCATAATATATAATTTATCAAGGATACTATCATTGGAAAATCGCCAACGTGCCAACTTTTTTAGTATCCAACGATCGACATCACTACTGTTTTATACTAATATCAATTTATAACGGATACACTGATTTTTTTTTTTTTTAAATACAAAACAAAACCCTTTTGCGATATTATACATATTACAGCAGATTGCTGAATTGCTGCATAGAATAAATTGTGTTTCATACATAATAAAAATGATAAGTGGTAAAAATATTAGAATAAATGTTAGATATATAATATTTCCAAAAAAAAAAAAAAGTCAATACAATAAATTTAACTCATAAATATTATCGTATAGCCAATAATTTAAAATTCAAATATCTGATATCGTACAGTCACTATTTTGTTGATTTATTATCGAAGTAACAGTATTGATAATGTTATTCTACACCCATCGTCCGCGTGGGAGGTTATACAAAAATCGATATTGCCAATCTCTAATCTTTTTACAAAATAAGTCAGTCGAATTGTGATTTCAACAATAATTGTACAATTCTTTTGATTCGCAATTAAACGACCTATTGCACACTAGATCGGTCAAAGATCGATCAAGATTAAGGTCTTGAATTTACGGCGGTTTACCCGTTTGAAATAAATACATGTTTAAAAATCAATTTGCAAACACACGGCAAAACATAAATCTAAAAAAAAAAAATGACAACGAGTTTCATATTATATGGTTGTCAAGGCGCGACGTTCCAAAGTTATAACTCGAACCTTATAAACTTGTCCAACTATTATGATACGCAGAACTTTGGATCTGAAAACTTTAAAATGTCAAATAAATACAACGTTTGATCGATGTATGATGAACAGTTCTAAGAACAAAGCACATACGAGTCATGTTGCATACAATTTTAGTCTCAATACAAAACATTAGCAGAAGTTACGCCTTTGAATTTGATGATTAATAAACAAAATCGATTGTCGTCCGTCGCCGTTTGTGGATTACAGTGATAAGATAATTTGTTTTCTTAACTTCTGTGTAAATCTGAAAAGCTATTACTGATTTTACAACGTTGTATTTTTGAAAATAGCTTGTTTAGACGTTTCTTAGTATAACGGCATCCGTCAGACGAATAAAGTGACATTTTTGGGCATTTGCTTTGAGAAATAATTCTACTTCTAACGCCGAAACAATGGTACTTGTTTTAATATTAAAAATATTACGTATTATTCATATTGAATAGTAACTGTTCAACGCTTATTAGATGTTAATAAAAATTTAATAGTATTTTTAAAAAGAGCTAAAAAAAATATTACACAATTTAATTGAAATCCATTAAATAACTAAAACTATTTTTTATCTATATGTTGCGAATTTAAAAAAAAAACCGACTTCCCTAATTGTAAGCAATTATTTTAAAAGTTATGCGAAATATCAAATACAAGGAACGCGTTTTCTACGTCATTGAATTATTCGACTATTAATTATTTTCTAAAATCAATGTTTTATATCTTACTAAAATAAGTAAATATAAGATACAATTTTGTTTTTAAACTTTCCCACATACCTATTTATACGGCGACGCTCATCATAAAATAAATTGTGTTTTGTACAGCTTTTGTACAAACAGCCTCGGTCTGTAAAAGCTGCTGTTGGCAGACCACAATACTTTGTTAACCGTTTTTCATTGATCAATTTATGTTTAATTTATTCCAATAATTACTAGTACGTTTAACAAATTCATTTGAATAGATTGAAATTTATTTTTAAGCCACAGAAAATCGGACAAAACGGTTTTTGAGTTTCTTTTGAGTTAATCATAATAAAAAACTCCCAACAATTTGTTGGTTTTAGCCATGCATAGCACGAAATTATAAAACTAATTATTTATAATAGTTTCTATAGTGGAAGGTTACACCGAATTGACACACACTTGCGTCACGTGCACGTTATGTGATAAACCTCATGCTTAATTATCGTTGTTACAGTTTAATTATATTAGCAAAACTGGTTTTTACAAATCTCACTAAAATAACAGCTATTTTACTTAAATTATTCACGAGACCGACAACAATAATCATTTGTATGAATGTTTAATAATATAATATTGTTTTGAGTTATTGGCTATCTCGGGGGCTATTAATTTTAAAATGATTATTGCCCGTAAATAATTCTATTATAGACGTATCTATTATTTTATATATACCTGTTTGTGTCTTTTTTATTTTTTACCTAAAATCAGTAAAAACATATTTTTACTGTTTTCGAAGGGATTTTGCCGTTTTCAATGGAACTGAATATTTTTATTTCTATTTTCTTGGCACAGTAAAAATGTATTTACAAATTGTGAAGTATACATAGCACCGGCTAAATTATTGTGAGTAAAAGTTGAAACTTTGAAATTACACACATAAAAATTTAGATTTATAGTTTTGAATGTGTTGAAAATTTCTAACACCAAGTGCCTTTACAATAATAATTTTTTTATCGAATTTTCGTTATAACTCGGTTAGAAGTGAGTTTAAAATTATTCGAAAAAATTAAAATTAATTAACATTAAATTAGTCTTTAAAAAAAAAAAACTTTTGAATCGAATTATGTCGTTCATAATTTACATCAAACACTCCATTGCCCAATTATCCCGTTAACCCAATCAGGTCGCCAGTTACTTATGACGGCATTATAGGTATGCAATTCTTATACATAACTATAATTTGTGTTGCCCGACATCCTGTGATGGGCATGGATTAAACATACGTTTAACGTGCCAAGCCCAATTGTGTAGCTCTAATAGTTGTGAAATCACTCCACTAAATATAATGTAATAATGTCATACAGTTTACTCAGTTATTAAAGATTTCACAGTTTTTTTGGTACTTATCACAGACAGTATAACTTTCCTATATAACTTCCCTAATAGAATTTATTATGTGTACATTTTAAATGTAGCCCCGCCATTTAAAAATAGGAACAAAATTCCTTGCCTGTAGCTGTGTGAAATGAATTGTTATAAGGTCGGATGGAACAAGAAATGTTCATTCAAAGTCTAACATACCTAGAAAAATTTGGTTTTTTTGCTCGAAAAAAACAACAGGCAAAATAACGCTGTGATCTAACTCTATTTTTAAAACTCGCGTTGATCTTTGATTTTTTTTCTCCTAATTTATACAGATGAGATTTATACACCTAGTCACTAATTGTTGGAGATTCAAACTTGACTACAATTTTTTTTTTTTTTTTTAATTACTAGATAGTATAGATATTTATATTATACACTGTGCTCCACACAGTACATTATTATACTTCCGAACAAGGCTTATTTGAACTTGTCAAGTTACGGCTCAAGATGAAGATCTTGTACTTAGATAGTATTGTTAGACCCGAAGGTCGTTTCGTATTAGCACACGGCCCAACGGTTTCGCATGATCGTTAAGGCTGATAGCCGCGGTCCTTATATCAAAGGCAAAATACAGCGTCCTCAAATGACTACCCACGCGGTCACCGCACTAAGACACAGCGAGTGCACGTGCCATATAATATAGTGGCATTATTAACTTGTTTTAGATTTAGAAAGTTAATGGCGAGTAAAATGAAAATTGAAAACTTCAATCGCATACAAGTGTAGCAAGTAAGAAATCATTTACTGAACCGCGCAGCGATCCGTTTTCGTTGCCGAACCGTTAGAGCTGATAGAAACGATTGCATTGCCTTTACTAAAGGTTACCCTTTGAACTTACATTCGGTTTAACTACAATAAAAAAAGCGTTTTTCTAAATAAACCACTATACCTAATAAAGTCAAATAAATTTTGTTTACCTACTTGGAAAAAATGATTACCTCGTTTTTTAGCTTTTTTCGCTCTCTTGTTATCAAAAATCATGTCGAAAAAAGTATTCCAGAATGAAAGAAAAATAGTTTTTATTCTTTATGACATATTTTATTAGGTAAACTACAATCAAATAAATATTTAAAATGTAAAGAATTAGACATATGTGAGATTTTGACAAAGAAAATACCAATTACAGATTTTTACGTTTTTTCAGAAAGCAAATCAATTGATCGAATAACTTTTTTACACATTTTTGCCGCAGTTTTGACAAATATGATTCTGAGAGAAACTTTTAAAACGACATAAAGTTTGAAGTTGACAGTCTATATCAGACGGCAGGGCGTTCCCTGTTTGTGTAATCGTTAAAAATAAGTATACACCGGGTTTTGATTTAAAACATAGCGAGTAATTCTTCAATAGTTCTGGAGTCCATTAATGAACAGAAAGTTTTGACTTAGTGAACCAGATTTTCCCCGCACTTAATTCGTCATTACCAAATTATAATTTGTTATTCAAACAAGAATATTGCTCCAGTCTGGACTTAACACAGTTTTCTCTCTTAAAACTTACGCGTGGGACTTGAGAACTTGACACAACCTATCTTTATTTTCTTAGTAATTCATATTTTCTACAAAAAATATCAAAACAAAGAAACCACTTAGCTTTAATTATACAACATTAAACCTTCGGTCAATGGGTTTGGGTGTAGAAGCAGACATAGCAGACTAGGAAATCACGTTTGAACGGTTTTTTTCTAGAATATTATTATATTATACTTGAAAAAACGTATAAATCATTGCCGAAATCATAAAACCCGTATAATATTGCGAAACAGGTAACACATTCTGGTTTTAAAATGCGAGTCTTAGAGAAAAAAAAGTTAAAAACGATTTTTTTTTCATTTATTGGTTAAAATATAATATGTAGAAACGTTAACATTAAACATAATTTAATAAAAAAATTGCTTGAGTTATAACACTTAACAATTATTCTGGTAAAACAAATACGGTGCATTATAAATTGGCCGAATTATTAATAAAACATTTTTAAAAAACAAAACTAACAATATTAAAACAGGTTAAATGAAAGTTTATCCCAATTGTTAGTTTCGATAACAGTGTACTATGTAACTCTATTAAACAACTCGTTTTACTACATAAACAGTATTCACTTGTGCCATTCGCATCGTTCGCATATTATAATACAAAAATATAAATATATTATATACAAATATAAATATTATTATTAGACATAATACGACGTTTGATGTTCCTCGGGTATACAATATATATTATCATAAAAAAACAAAACAAAAATACAAAAGCTCTGGTATGAGACAAGTGATGGGTGCTGCAGTTGTTTGTGTGGGGGATTTTTGCTTTTCTTGGTTGTCCGCTTTCACATGGCGCCACACTCCCTAAGTACTCTGTTGCCCAGAGGTAAGGGCGGCCGGTAATTGTTCACTAGCTGTGGACCGCCATGAGGCTCAGAGCATTCTTCCGGTGTTTTCATCCGCATGCTCCGGAACGCGTTCAACTGCAACAGGGTTACCAAAAAGTCGTGTTAAAATTACTTGTTCAAACAAAATCTCGCGCTTAAACGAAACTTAAGTTGGTAAAAACTATTAGATATCATTATAAAATAAATGTACGGCCATAACGATGCGTTAGTTATTTTGTGTAGGGTGTTCCTCGATAGCAACAAGTGTGTCTACAGATTTTTTATCTTAAAATCAAAGATCAAGGAAACAGGTAACACATTCTGGTTTTAAAATGTGAGTGCACTATATAAACGTTTTATAAGGCAACCCAGTCGAATAACACAAACGTACTCGGGTAAAACGATTATTAAAAACGATTTTTTTTTTTTTTGCAATTGGGCGGGTATTATGAAAATTATAACCTCCCAAATCTGAATAGTGAACAATTTTTCACTACTGTAGTGGTTAAAATCATGTTGTGTACAAAAGCTGATTGTTTCCCAATTAAAAAAACATCATCAGTCAATACGAATATTGAAAAAAGATAATTTTTCTTTTGAATTTCTAAAGACACACGTCCTATTATTGATCACGATTTATTGTTTTACCGAAGCCAATGTAAATATTGAATGTATTTACACAATGGTGATTATTTTAAACAACTACAACGGATTGTACAATCGGATCTAGTATAATGTGTATCGATTGATTATGCCAAGTCGTTTTCTTAAAATGCCTACCATAGCAAAATCTAAGATAACATTGTAACCCGGTTATAGAGCAAGTCGAGCGATATATCAAATCGTGTTGGACTAAACGAGATGTAACTTCTAACGATATTTGATTTAATATTATACAGTCTAGAAGTAAAAACTAGTTACTATTCAAACCGCATTTTTTTTTATTCCTTTGAGACGTCATACGACTGGAATAGGTTGTAAAAAAAAAAATTTTAAAAAAAATTAAGTGCGACCGACAACAACTCTTTCCCTCCTCAAGTATAAGCAGCACTTTATAACAGCTAATATTAAAACAGACTAGATTAAGATGGTTTTTTTTGTTGGTACCTAAAAAAAAAAGAAATGTCATTTGTTTGAATTACAATTTAATAGTGAACATTTATAAAGAAAAAAAACAGACTAATGCCGACGTATTGTGTGGACTAGTCCAAATCTCGGGTAAATGTATTTAAATTTAATTCACAATAGAGACAAAAACAACCTAACTTTTACTAAGCCGTAATTTGCATGTTGCTCTCCTTGTAAACGCATTTGGACCTCACACCGAACGACCGTAATTTATTGCAGTTCAATGACACTAAATACTGTACTGACATGAGACGGTTTACGTTTTAATAATCCTTAGTGTTAAAAAGTAGTTTTATGTTAAAAAGTTTGCCAATTTCAAATAGACATGAGGGTCGGCAACGCCAACGGCATTCCTTTGTGTTCAAATAATATCACAATATTGTAAAAGTTTCTAGTTTTTTTTTTTTTTTAGCAGCTAGTTTAAGTCGTAATTTAACGAAATAAAACTAGTCCAGTATTGTATCAATTAAAATGTTGTTAATACATTTTTTTAACGTTTAAAAATTATTTCCAAACCGGTTTTTGTCCGGTTCTTTAGTGTTAAAAAAAAATGTTGTCGTGTAGATGGCAATATTTATATACAATTTTTTGTTGACAATTTTATGCACATGACAGTAACTAAACAATATTTAAACGATATTTTGTAAAATGTTAAAACAATTGTATTAACGGCATAATGAAATCATTTTTTAAGACCGAGAAAATTATAATAAATTTCATGGGTAACATTAAAAATTTAAGTTAACGTTTTATTAGATTTAAAAACCTAAATATAAGCCATTTGGTGCCATAACTGTCTTGAAACTATCAGCAGCTTAGGTAAATAGCGTATATTTAGTGTGAATGTGTTCATTGGATAAGATCCATCTGATCAACGAGTGTAGCGTTTAATTTTGCCAATTAGCTAGCAAATGTTAGTAATAAAGGGATTTCGGGATCTGATCAGCAGTTGAATTCCAATATTAGCATATTAAAACTTCTTTTAAAAGAAATTTTGAATTGGAGTAACGACTTTGCTGCTACTGAACCCAGTTCTGGCTCTGCTCTACTTTTGATTTTTTTTTTAGATTTTTGTCGATTTAGAAGATAAAAGCGGAGAGACGCCTTAAAAAATGATATCGCATACGTGTGATGAAAATGGAATTTCATCAGCTAAGTGAACTACAACAGTAGGCATTTTTCTTATTTTTTTTGAAAAAGATATATATATTATTGTAATGTGCTAAGCGACTGGATAAAATGTGATGATAGTTATTTTTAAATAAATCATTATAATAACGTAAATGCGTGTGAAATGATATTGTAAATATTTATCTTTTAGAGTATCGTTTTATTCACAAAAAAAAAAAAAATTGAAAACCCAAAAGATATTAGCCAAACAAACACGGAAAAATTGTTTTTATCAATATCATACGAATTGATTTGTTGCTTTCACAACTTGACTCTTATACAGCGTTTAATTAAGTACACCATTGCAGCGAAACAACTAAATCAAAACTACATTAAACTCTGCTGATTAAGATAATATGTATACTTCATTGGTATAACAGCAATATGCATGACTGGGCATTTTTTTTCTTCCGATATTATTATTATTTATGGCTCGAATTGTTTACAGTTGTTAAACATAAATCCTAACGAGCCCTGTTTACTTGTTTTTAATTAGCGTTTTCATAACCCGTTTGTAATGATTTACATGAACTTTGTATACGAATACAAATATTGTGAACAATCCGTTTATGTTAACAACGTAAATACATACATCAAAAAACCATTCGGCTAAATGCAGAGCAGTGTTGTTTTTATCAGAATTATAACACAACATGTTTTAAACAAAAATTAGGGTTGCGTTTAAATTCTAATGAAAATGCACAATGTCAGAGCACAACATATATTTAAAAAAAATAATTTTATTCTTTAAATAACGAAATTGAAAATGATATGTGAAAATTATATTATTGTTACCATTGTACACACTTGAAGGTTAAGAATATTATATAATATAATTATTTTTCGACATAATTCATATTTTACTCGAATATGTAGTTGGCTTAAAGTTCTGCATAATCGTCGGCCATGGCCACTTTTCGCGAATATTTAATTTCGAAGTTAATTTATTTTTAGAATATAAATAACACAATAGTAGCTTAAACGAAGCTATTTAATATGGCTTAAATTTGTTGTATTATTAATTATTATTAATAAAACTCTTTTAACATGCAATTGTATTAAAAGTTCGAGTGTTATTATTACATTTAATCGCGATTGAATTGACTTTAAAAACATGGACCAGTTCGTAAATGCTTTATGCCGATAATGCCAGACAAGTGCACATTTAAGACCTTTCCGTTTTTATTATGTATTCTCAGCTAAGCCGTCGATTAATAGGCATTTGCCGAAGAGCTTATTAAGAAAAACATATTGAAAGTCGAGGAGCAGACGCCTAATCCGCAAACAATTAGCTACTGCATATACGCAGTTTGCTCCATAAAAAGTTATTTACATTTTTATAGAGTTTTGTCGCACTTCAAAAGACGGAAGTTCTCTACCGTATTATATTTTAATGAGCAAACTTATTGTTGAAACAAAAAAACAATTTCCATAAAAATGTTTATCAAATTAAAAAAATAGCCAATTAGCGTGTTAATTGGTTATTGTTCGAGTATGTAAAATACAAATGTGTAAAAAAATTCAAAACAATACTCTGCTCGTCATACGATGCAGTTTTATTACATTGAAATAACCTTAGAGTTTGTACTATTATGCACTTAATTAATGCTTCGGGAACGATGGCTTAAAAAAAAAATAATGATGATTATTATTTTTACGCCTCAATTTGTAAATTATCTTTAATGCGTTACGACACGCTAATATATAAATTAAAATGCTCGCTTATTTTTTTAAACACAATTTCCATTGTTTAGTAGGTGTTAAGTCTATATTTTTTTATTTTTGTAAGAAGAATTAAGCAAATAAGTTATACCCGATATCAAATCGTGCGACCGAGAAAATCACGGACAACAACACCTAAGCTTTATTTATATTTTTTTTAACTGCCATTGAACAAGTCTTTTTTTTTTTATCGAGTTGCACTGCGCACATTCATCAAAGCCACGTCGATCATTAGAAAATCCTTGTGCAAATTTAAACGAGATATTTTCAATAACAACTCCAACGAATAAACGCAATTAATATTATTTTGACAAACAATATTTCATATTAATATTAATTGACATAATTTTATTTTTAATATTAAATTTTATAACTATAAAAAAAGTTTTAACAAAATATTGTCATATACTTTTTAAATAATTTAATGAACAACTATTTTTAAAAACAAATTTCTTTAATAATACAATATCTGTTTTTTAAAACTATCTCTTTAAATAAAAACATTTACATCGTCACTTATACTATGTTAGAGAAATTTTGTTTAGAATTATTATGTCAAATTGGCGAAAGCATTCGAGAAATATTGTCAGATATTGTTTTTATAATGATTCCCGTTGATCTTAGAAAATGGAAACTAACATTGCCAGCGGTGACGACTAATAATATTATATTATTATGTCGTTTGATTGATGATTAGAAGTTGTTTATATAATAGCGTTGAGCGCATGTGGTTTTTATCATAGGTATTATTCATTGCAAATTTCGATACAAATTTTAACGAACAACCTCTAAACTATGTTTGATAAATAAAAATATCAACGTAGAGTTTATTTTCAGAATATTAAAAAAAAAGGCTAATAAAATATCCACGTAACTAAAGGAGTACCTTCATAATAGGGGTTTCACCGCAATACTACAAGTGTATTTTTTTTTTTAGGTTTAAGTCGGTTTTATACCTACGGGGTTTGGCCAGGTCAACCGGGTTTTATTCGAAAAATATGTCTCGTAATACATATTATTATGGCAAAAAGTAAAATATACATATATATATTTTTTTTTTTTGACGAATTCCGTCGGGTAAACGCAGTATAATAAATGAATTACCTGTCTTTCGGACACTTCGATTGGGTTCTTGAACATAATCCATGTGACGCATTCCGAACACGGCGGAGTCGTCAACGACCCGTGGTAAGTCCAGTAAGTCACGTCCTCTGAAAGTGAAGTATGCAAACAGTATTACGCAAGAGCATATTGGCGTATAAAGTTTTCATGTGTGTATGTGATGGACACCTGAGTGAATCATATATATATATATGTAGTATATTCATAATATATACTGATTGCCAATGTTAAATTTACAATACCCCTAAACGCAACCGTGTTGGAGAACACATATTAATATATTAATTTTAAAAAAACCGTTTGGGAAAAATATTCATACATGTCATGCAGAATAATTTGTTGAATCATATTACTATAAATTCTTCGTCAAACAATTATTTGGTATTTACCCTAACAAAATAGTTTTAATGCACACCCATTTAAACGTTTGCCAACTTAGTGGCAAAAATACGGATTACTGCTAAACTCTATTGTAAAAAAAACTACCTAATGGAAAAGTGACTTAGAACGCTAAAATTCAAGTTAAGGGGATTCAAAGCGGTCTGGTTTTTTTTAAAAGTTTAAGACCAAAGAGCCAGATAAAATGTCGACTACTTAGGATGGTCCAATTTCAATTCTGTAGAGATATGAATTATTTGCTGCTTACGTTATGTCGAAAATGGATTTTTTCTTTTTTATGTAAATAAATTGTGTATTGGAAGTCACGCGCACACACTAATGATCATTTACTATGCTCACACATTCATAGCTCATCCGCACGCACTGAAAATATTGCCTACATAAAACTACTTATAAACTACCCACTTTCAATCCCCTTAATACACCTTTTTTAATGGGGTATTAAAAAAAAACGCACTTCCCCAGAGAATACTTGATGAAAAGTTGGGGAAACAAATTAACACACAGATGTATAGGAAATAAAAACTTTTAAACTCGCCCCCCCCCTCAAAAAAAAAAAAAGACCCGAGACTTGCAGATCCAATGTACAATAATATATATTTTATATAATTAAAGTAATTACCGGGCAATAAAGCAGCCGGGTCGATGGTGTTTGCGATCGGAGCCGATTGGTTGCGCAGGGCCACTTGTGAAATATGCGAAACGATTTTCTCCAGCTCTTGGTGGCATTTGTCGCCGGCCTAAAAAACAAACGCACACGCATACACAAGATTTGTATTAGTACAACGGATATAAAAATTAAAAAAAAAAATAGACGTGGTTGCGTTTTGAAGAAAAATAAGACAATACATAGGTATGACGGATAATGTAGATTATAGTGTATCCTAAAAAAGTATAGATGGAAATTCGTTGCCGGCCAGAAACGGGTAGGTTCGTATTATTATGCGACGATAATAATATTACTAATATTATAAACGACCGCCGACAAGATATACTGTGGTACTCACGCGGGGTCACCTGCAACGACCGTCCTGCACCGGAGGGGATTTTGCCCACGATACTCTCTTTCTTTTTTCGCATAGGACCCGACTAAATATTCTAAATCTCCCGACCAGGTTAGGACCGGGCTAAAACTAGACGTGTACAAGCGATTTCGAGATTAATCGGCACCGATTAATCCCGCGTTTTGCATAGGTTGCTCTGTCGATCCGTTTCAATCATGATTTATAATGAACGCTAACAAAAATTCAAAAAAATAACAAAAAAAAAAAAAAATAACAAAATATATCTATAAACCATACACAGTATACTACGTGATAATAATATATTTTATGATAAATGTGTTAGGTCTGTTCCAGACTCGTTCGCTTTGCAAGTACGATAATTAACTTTGCGCTATAAGAGTGGACGCGGAGAGCCGTTAAACGTTTTAGCTTGCTTTTTTTTTTTTTTTTTAACAAATGACTTATAATTTGTATTTAACAGCGCCGAGATTGGATTAGACCTTTACATAATATATCGATATGACATAATATTACACTCGTGTTTTTTTACTTAAAACGTGTGTTATCTTATTAATAGTAGACCCGATCGGGGATCGAAAGCGCATACCTTTAAGAACACTCCGACTACGGCCAACCCGTCGGGATGATCAATAGCTTCGTAGAACGAGTTGTACTTGTCGCAGTTCCAGTGGACCAAGTGCAACTGAAACCAATCGAAATAATTATATCAAAAGGCCGGTCACATAGAGTGTGCATTTTTGACATTAATAAGTACAATTCACAAAGTTCACAGAGTTGGCAATAATCCTGGTAGTTGCCATGTCCGACTAAGTTAAGTTTTTTTAGCTTCGATCAGGGGGATGAGAAGGTATTTGAGTATGCATAAACTAAAAGAAACCCATATTTTTTAGTAATGACCATGGTCATTTTGGGTTTGAGTTTTTTTTTTGCCAACAAATTTTATTTGGTAAATGTAATTTGAAAATAATTATTCAAACAAAATTATACTTTAATTAATAAGTTATTCGATTTGTTTGAGTCGTTATCTGTTGTTTAATTAAACTTTGCCCGACCCTGCATACGTATTATATAAATGAATTACTATTAATAATAAATAATATAATATTGGATTTTGTCTGTGCGGCACACGACACTGTGGCGATAATAATATGGCAATATCGCGAAGCCCCCCGTCGGCTATAAGGACGTGTAGTCTCTACAGCTAACATAAAAGGGGAAATGACTGGCGGAAAATAATATAGAGAACAAAAAGAACGCTGTAAACAAGAGCATAGACAATACCGCGTATAATGGAATAACACACAACAGAAGAACGACGCGACGCATACAACATAATATAATAGGTATAACCTAACCTAAGCCTATTGGCAAGAACCTGTTCAAAAAACGAAATTTAGACAAATTTGAAATCTCAACAGAGATGGCAAAAAAACAAAAAAAGTTTGGAATTTACCAAAATACACGGGTGTTTTTGAGTTTATGCAAACCCAAAAAAAGCTAGGTCGGGCTTTTACCAAAAAATATCCTGTCTCATTGCCAACACTAAATCTCTGAACTCTGACCATTGCGCAAAAATTGTTGTTGTCTATAACAAGTTGATGTTAACAATCAGTTAATGGTTTGTTTGGTTTTAATAACATTTTTCACAGAATTCACTCACTTCGCCAGCATAGGCGACTCCGTCAACCGTGTGCTCGGATCCCTTTGTGCTGGTGCATCCCCAATGGCAGTGGAATTGTTCCAATTTGTATTTATGTCCTAGCGGGCCGCCAGAGAGTTCTGAAATTATATACAAATCAGTTAGCAAAAAAAAACTCATTTATATAATAGCCTTTTAATCCTCGGCGTAAATAACACAAGAAGAGCCGGTACATATTATTTTTTTCATCGTACAACAAAAAAAAAAACGGAAACCAACTCGTTTACATGAATAAACGACTTGTGTACAGTGTATGATATGTACGAACAAACTGTTATTAATAATATCGAATCCATTTTTATGCATAACATATTTTGTTGGGATTAAAAAAACTAGCACAAATATAAATTTCGACTATTTTTATATTTTATCATTGTTATTATTGACCAAACGAATTACTTCAATAATGCGAATTTTCCTTTCGACTTTTTTTCATTACCTACCATTGTGTACATTTAATTATAAATATTATGATTAATGATTATATTATATTTGTATCGACCGTACCCGATCCGTCTCCATCGTCGTACACTTGTACTTTCCATCCGTAACCGTTGTTGTCGATTTGTTTGCAAATATCCGGGCTGTAGTTCCAGTACAGCGGTTTGCTCTTCAGGGTCGTGTCGTTAGTGGCCTTGGTCGTTTCGATGTTCACCGGAGATTGGAGGGAACCAGCGGCTTGTGGGAAGAATTGTGGCCAGACCGATGGTCCTATACGATTGAATAAAATAAAAATAACAATAAATGCATTTATTATTATAAACACGAACGGTGGAAGCGGCAAGGCATAAAAAAAAAATGTTTACGAACAAAACAAAAAGACCCAATAACAACAACGCTTATAGTGACCATAAGCGCAGATTAAGGGGAGGGAGAGCTCGGGAAGCTAGACCTTTTCATATATTTTTTCGGAATCGTTTGTGTATTAGAAAGGGTTAAACCTATCACTGCCTATTTTATGCTACACATTTGTGTCATGTTATGTGCGCCATGTTGTATCTACTTCACAAAGTACTCATGTAATTTACTATGTCGACGGCTAAGACCATAGTAAAGACCAGTAAATCTGTGTTAAGAAATCCAAATTGTTTTACTCGCATATCATCCTACAAACTGAATGTCTAAAATAAATAATGTTTGTAAATAAACAATTTAGAAAATCTATAAACATGGTAAACGTAAAATAATTATTATGATATGATTCGCTTCCTTAAATTATGGTTTATGGGAAAGTGAAAAAAAAAATAATCACAGAAGTACAAATTGTAAACAAAATAACCGGTTGATAGTTTGTCTGGCGATTACCATTGTTGGTACATCAAACGTGCAATTAGTATTTTTTTTCCTACCAAATATGGGAATGTTAATCATGCAAAGAATGATACTAATGATAGTATATCACACTTCTATAGGCTTACACCTGTTTACAAATAGCGTTGAAATTCAATAAGTTAAATTTTATCTAAGGGCCAATTAGAGTTACCTGAACCATAAATTACATACACATAACACATGTATCTATCTAATCTATTCCTGAACGTTTTATAGATGTAATAATTACATATATTATCATAATATGAACGCGTCATTTAGATATTTTTGGAGGACTCTCGGGCAGATAAGGACTAGCGTAGTACACGAAACGGTAACGGTCATAATCTTGGTAAAATTATTTTGTAAGCCAGTTAAACCTCTTATAACGATTACCAGAGGCAAAACAATAAGACGATGTATATCCACTTAAGAAAATTATAAGTATTCGTATTAGTATTAATTTCGTACCTAGTGGAGCGAATTCCACAAGAAACCTCCTACATAACTGGGTAGCGATAAGCTGCTTAAGCCGATTCCAAATCCAAACAATTTTAAGTACGATATTTTTTTAATCGTCTCCCCGATTATAAGACTCGCGCCTCGATACTGACGGGCACAGAAGTTTTTATTCATTTTTAGCATAATAATTCTGTGATAACTATTAAACCATAACGTCTAGACCTAAGGCACGTTTCCAGGATGTGCCTAATTGCGCGCCGGCTACAAAACATAATTGTCCAGATAATAAACAAAATAGCAATCAATACCATTCGGGAGGAAGACGTCGCGTCAGTGTCTACGGCGGAAAATAAAGATATTAAAAAAACCGTTTTGCTAACACTTTTTCCGCTTTCTCAATTAATATTAATTTTTAAACCGCCGGGTAAGTCATTAATAATGAGTAGAAGACGCCGGCAGCGGCAGCGGAAGGAGCCTTGACATTTTAACTTTGTCGGGTCTAAAACGGTTTTAATTAATTTTTCTTCTCGATCTCGGGCAAACCAATTCGACAGGAAACAAACGTGTCAATGTTGTTGACCGACTCGACAACGCAATAGCCATAATAACTATTAATACAACGTTTCGACAGGCAAAAAGGGCCCCACTGAGAAGGGGCTTCTTCAAAAAATATAAACTCGGAACGAGACATTTGGAAGTAGATTTTCGTTTGGACATTTTGACGTGCAAAATATATATATATATGCATTTTTCTTTGTCCAGGTATATAAAGTCGAGCGATTCGTCCGAAAGACTGTTTCTCCGAATCCATTAAGACTCCTGTCCCGCAGGTCTTATATAGTGTCACTATTTAGTTGTTGGCCATAAAATATGAAATTTAGTTTTCCATCAAAAAGTAATAGAGTGAATTGAATGGAATGGAGCAAATGCAACTGCAAAATATTACATAAAAATAACTAGTTTTCATTTTCAATAACAAATTATATTAATTCCACAAAGTTACTCTAGTTTGCATTTATAATTTATGTTGTTTGTTTATTTTTTATTTGACATTAAAATGCTTCAACATCAGGTGATTAATTCAATAAATTTTTAAAAAATGATCAATTAACAACACTATATTATTCTCAATTCTATTTGTCTATTTTATAAATTGATGGAATTATATTCACAGTAGAAAGGACGCCATTCTGCGTTTACTAGTCGCAAACCTTAAGCCATTTAATATTCCTAAAGCGTTCGAGTCAGTAACGATAGACCGTCCAATGGTTCGCAAGAATAAGAAACAGACCCGAGCATTTCTTAGGATCAAATATAAATTATAATATATTGGATTGGAATGATTTAAGCGTTACGACTTGCGAGACAGCAAAAACAATTTTTTTAAATAATAATAAATTGAATATTATTCAAAAGACATTATTGTTCGAGCGATCCTTACCGTTTTGAAATCTTAAAAACCGGTTATCGGTCTCTCCCTCCCCCCTTGACCCTCATTCCCCGCTCTCTTCTAGTGGCTTATCCTAATAGCGTCCCGTGCTGAACGCGCCCAGTATAAATAAAAGTCTCAAAAAAAAAAACATCACTCGAGTCCACGTTCTCAACACAAGTAATTTAAATAAATAAAACACCCGACAACCGGGATGGGCAAGTAGCGTCCAAATAAAATATTTGAAAACGAATGTATTTGGTTTTTTTTTTTTAGTTAAAGTACATTAAACCGGTATAAATGAAATACACGTTAACTTAAAATTTAAGCGAGTATTACAAATGTTCTAAAAACTTTCCAAATTTTATAGAAAACTAAGAAATAATATATTATAAATTATAATATTTAAAAGTCACCTACGGATACGTGTTTTTTTCAATTTGTTTTATCTAATTTTGTACAAATCAAAAATCGCTGGTACACCTAAAGTACTTAATAAAAGTTTACATCCGCCGAAAAAAGCATAGAAAAAAAATTCTTAAGTGTTGTTTTTGTTTTTAAATACAGATATCGGTCTAAAAATTGTATTGAAAATAAATTTTTTATAAGCTTAAAACTAAAAACTGAAAAGTTTCAAAATCTAATAATTTAATGTATATGTAGTTTAAAACCGAGTTTGTTCTTTAACCCAAATAATTAAACAAAATCGAATTTTGCCACCCAAAAGACATAATGGTTGTATTGCGTTTTAGCGTGAGTGAATTCAAATGAGTTGATCGCAATTACAATTATTAATAAAGCAAAAAATATATTGAGAATGGTACCTCATCACACACGAATCATGTGGGTTGAATATTTTTGCTGCGCAATGATTTCAAATGTAATGAAAATTAATTAATGTTTAATGGCCACGGGTAACTAGCTCTATATTATGCATTCCACGAGCACAGTCACCTTAAAGGTGAATATCTAACATATTGTTGTACCTATATATGTGTTATAATGCACACGCCCAGGATGTATAATGCGATCAACCAACATGTTTATTTGAAAACACTGGGCGCTAAAACCAGTGGCGTTCAACTCATATTGTAAAAGTTTAGAGAATAATTATTATTTTCAACCGACCACCACTGCGCAAACTCATACAACACAGCCGAACTGCAAAGGCGTAAAGACAAACTGATGGTAATTTTGTAAAAACAAGAAAATATCGAAAAATTAGGAATCGATTATGAACACAAAGAATGTCTAGAACTTAGAAGCTAGAAGTATTTTTATTTTTGCCTCAACTATGAATTAGTTAGAACCAACACGGCGCGACGGCTAATTTCGAAGGTATTGTCCACCGCCTATACAACACAATTTAAGCATTACAGAGCGTGTGTGACGCATACTCCTATGAATAATAGCTAATTGGCTTTAAGTTTATAAAGAAAAAATAATAATAATTAACGACCCCAGCAAAGTTGAGAACAATAATTATTATTCATACGACTGTTGTGGTGTGAACAAAACTACAAATGTGATGTTCGCGCGATAGTATGTAGGCATCGAATAGTTACTAATTGTAACTAATTAACTCGAACCTTAAACGCAAAAAAAAAAAAGAATATTTTGTGACATTTTTTGTTTAGTTTTTTAAAACTTTTATCTCTACGTATAATCATATTTATGTAAAAGCACGGAGTCGCCTGCGGCTAAAGTACTGGTCATTACACAACTTGCTACAGAAAATAAATTAGATAATTATATTAATGTACATTATACGTCGTTATGTGTATGATAAAATATAAAAAGGAATTAAAAATGACTAATTCATCACTCCTATTAGTTGCCAACACATAATGTGAATTTTAGTTGATTAATACGCCTATGCCCTCGGGAATGTGCCTCCAATTTTTTAAGGACTCGTTCGCCTAAATCATCGTTAACTACACACACCAACCGCTCTGTACGACCGAAGTAGAATATTTAGAATTTTAATTATTTTTCTGCGGTATTTGATTTTACAAAAATTCAATAGCAAATCCAAGGATATCTTATTTTGACAGCTGTTGCTTCGTATTGCAGGTGACCTAACAATAGTGTGCCGTGATTATAATTAACTTTCAAAACTTGCGACTCCGTTAAAATACAAAGCTAAGGTTACTAGATAAGTGGATTGTATCAAAAAATCAATGTTGTACAAAGTTCATCAGCGTCATACCAATATAACAACAGAAAAAACAAACATTTTTGGTAGGTTTTTGAAGATAACGACTAAGATTAATACAAATTGTACTAATCTAATACAGAAGTATTTTTTACGAACAAAAGATTAGCTCGGTGAACCATTACTTTTTTAATTCTTTCTTATTTTTATAAAATCATACACTAATCTGTAATCCAAGAGTACAAAAAATACGTTCTCGATAAAAAAAATCTAAACTGCATTTCAGTTAGTAAATATTTCTTTTTTTATAAATATTAGTTTAATTATTTTTTTTAACTTTTTCATGTTATAGAA